CAATAACGCATGGGGGATGCATAGAATCCACCTCTTGTAATGAATCATTTGTTTTCACTTCAATTCTCCATTAAGGATTCACTCAGGCAGCATAACAAAAAAATAAAGGCACTAATAGTGTAAAACCATATGACCAATTGCTTTATTCACCCTCCAGGTAAAAATCTACTCACAAACATCCAAATATCATTGCCCTTCAAAACCACAAATATGGACTGTCAGGTATAACCCCACTCCTCAGCTGAGTGATCGGCGTCTCACCCGGTCTGTACCTCCATAACTTTGCTGTGTCACTTCCAAGGGGCCCTGACATCACTACCAGTTGCCGTTCTGTCAGATTCTGCCTGTTGGTCCTGTGCCAGATGGCCAGCCTGAGGGTCATGTGCCTGCTTCACAGTCTGATGGTCCTCTGCCTGCTGCCCAGCCTGATTGTGCCATGCTTACTGCCCAACCTGCCTCTAAAGATGCTTGATGTCCAGCCTACCTCTGATGGTCTGCTCCTGATGACCAGTCTGCCTCGGATGGTCCGCTGCCTGATGACCAGCCTGCCTAAGATGGCCTGCTGCCTGATGACCAGCCTGATGACCAGCCTGCCTCTGATGGTCCACTGCCATGTGTATTTATATTGTTTTTTTTTTATTCTCTTTAAGAAATCACATTATTTATACCATACTTGTGCCTGGTGTTCTCTGTGCAAGTCCACACACTCCTGGTCTAAAGATACCAGCACTCGGTATCCCTGACAAAGACCATATATATTGAGGTTTCAAACTTGGAAATCCTAGTCATACTGTATATATTACCAAACTAAGCAGGAATAAAGCAGAACTATGAAAATAATAAAATAATACACTGTTTACTATAGAGAGTAGGTCTATACCAAATGTAAAACATGTTAGCCTAAACGGTAACAGAATCAACAAAGGTGCAACAAGGGCAGCTTAACAGTGGATAAGTCTAAACCCCTGGAGCTACACTGATATTAGTGCACTGAGGTGGCTATACTAGGTCCAAATCTGACCAAACATCCCCGAATAAAGTGTAGATGATAGAAATTGTGCAAATTGAGGTGGATAAGAGGGGCAGTCTATAGATAGTGAAAAAAGCCCCTGCGCTTAGATGGCCCTAACAGATATAAAAGCTGCTAGCACCTACTGTGTACCAATGAATACCTTAAACCAAAATTATAATATAAATGGTGCAGCGCTACTATTATATACAGCCAGCACTAAATACACTCAGAAAATGCATGCAAATAAAATAATCACAACTGCATGGGTGAATAAACCCCCTTAGTAGATATATATAACATAGAATAACATATATCAATCACTGGTGTCAAGGTGCCAAGGTGACACGCACTTAATTCGTGACTAAGGGGTGATGAATCAGTTCACTTTAAGCACACAGGTGAAAAACTCTTCATACACGTGGATGTGTCATAGGTGCCAAAAAAAATCCCAAAATGGTCTGAGTGCCCCCTCACCTCCTGGTCTGACAGCTCCCCTGAGAAAGAGGTCTGGCTAAAGCTACTGTCATTTCGGTCGCATTGAGGGGATCTGCAGGAGATTGTCTGAATACTAGTAGAACGCTGGTTGGCCCTTGAGGTCATTGCAAGGAGGTGAGGGGGCACTCAGACCATTTTGGGATTTTTTTTGGCACGTATGACACATCCACGTGTATGAAGAGTTTTTCACCTGTGTGTTTAAAGTGAACTGATTCATCACCCCTTAGTCACGAATTAAGTGCGTGTCACCTTGGCACCTTGACACCAGTGATTGATATATGTTATTCTATGTTATATATATCTACTAAGGGGGTTTATTCACCCATGCAGTTGTGATTATTTTATTTGCATGCATTTTCTGAGTGTATTTAGTGCTGGCTGTATATAATAGTAGCGCTGCACCATTTATATTATAATTTCAGTCTATAGATAGTTACTTCTATTCTTGGGGCCCATAATGGTGGTGCACTGCTGGTGAAGGTTGAGTGTCTTAGCCTGCATTCAGTTTCCAAAAAGAGATCCCACTTCTTGCAGGTGTGATTGGTAGAGCTGGTTTGAAGACGACGATGAATGGTAACAAAAGGCGGGAAAGGTTCCAAATTAAAGTCAGTTCTGGGATTTTGGGACAATTACAGTATCAGTAGATATTATGATGACAGCCTGTGGTGGGTTTTAGTTGTGGAGCAGTAACCCAGGGAATGAAAGGATAAGACTATGTTAGGGAATTAGGAGACTCAGTTCCTCCTGTACAGTGTGTGTAATGAGCGTAGAACGCTCACACCAGTCCTGCGTTTCGGACTTGGATGCCAGTGGTGGAAGGGCCCCTCAAGGATCGATCCATTGACTTGAGCTCCGCACAGGAATGCTACTGATCCAGCTGATGACCAGTCAACATGTTTGCTTTCTCCAGTACAAGCTGGTATATATGGGCAATAGATGTGGTGATCGTCTCTCCTTCTCTCTTGGCAAAGCTGCTAACAAGGCCTCACTTGTGACAGAGTTCCTGCTGGGCTCAACACATTAGCTCAGATGTCTGTATTCTTCCCTGTCCTAGGGCCAACTGTCTCAAACCTTCCCTGGAAGTCCACTATGAGCCTCTCCTCTCGTCCCTTGACCACATGGCTCCCTGGGAACTGTAGTTTTGCTTTCAGCTCTGGAGCAATGCCGCCACACACTGAAACTATATTTCCCACAATACTTTCCATCAGCATCTCCTCCCCTATAGTCTGATGCTGCCCAATCAATGAAGGGCACATAACCATGCCTGGGCTTGTTCTTACAGTGGTAGTCTTTAAAGTTTGTTTTCACTTTTGTCAGCACCTGCCCACACATACAGTATATATTTTCTTTGTTTTTACAATTAGGAACATAAAATACACCTAATGCCATGGGTGCATGAAAGTTTAATAAAAGAGTAAAGATTTTCTATATGCAGTAAAATAAAAATAAAAAACATCAGACCATGATGTATAAGTCCTAAAAATTCTAATAAAATTGCTCCAAAACCATTACAGCTTATCTTTAAAGTGACAGAGTCATTAAAAATTAAAATGGCAATAAATATATTACTTGCAAAGAAAACAGCAAGGCTCTATTCACACTTGTGCGACTCCAAAGTCACACAATTTCATTGAGTAATTTTGGAGTGCAACTTTGATCTGACTTTACACTCTCTGAACCATCAAATCAGTGCAGGCAAATTTTTTTTTTTAAATCACTGTGACTTTAAGTTGCACCGATCTGAGTGGGTGCCATTGAACAGAATGGGCTGCGACTTGTCGTGTCCAAAGTCGCAACAAATATGAATGGGGCCTAAAAAGGTACCTCTTCTGCTGCTCATACCTCTGAGCACTGCTGTGATAAAGGGGAATGGCTGATTCATAGTCGTTCATCTTTTCACTGACTTCTACATTACCACAGGACACTGTAGTTCTGTAGGGGCTGATGGGAGTAATCACGGAGTGAAGCAGGGGACCCAGTAAATAAACAATCCCGTAAGTTTCTGTTTGTAAAGAGACTTCAGGTGGCAGTTTCTGTTTATCACAGGAGTTTTTTGTTGGTATGGGTGACGGTAGAGGTATTTACTATGTTCATTACGGGGAAAGTGTACTATTACGTAGACAGGTTCCTTTAAACAGTAAAGTAGCAAATCAGACCAAAAAAACAATCTCTGAACCTGACTATCTACACTATAAATGAAAAATCATAAAAAATAAGTGTTATGTCTTATGTGGCAAGGTGAAAAAAAAACTCCCTTTACATTGAACGTCAGTGGTGTCTCTTACATTGAACGTCAGTGGTGTCTCTTCATTGAACGTCAGTGGTGTCTCTTACATTGAACGTCAGTGGTGTCTCTTACATAGGACGTCAGTGGTGTCTCTTACATTGAACGTCAGTGGTGTCTCTTACATAGGACGTCAGTGGTGTCTCTTACATAGGACGTCAGTGGTGTCTCTTACATAGGACGTCAGTGGTGTCTCTTACATTGAACGTCAGTGGTGTCTCTTACATTGAACGTCAGTGGTGTCTCTTACATTGAACGTCAGTGGTGTCTCTTACATTGAACGTCAGTGGTGTCTCTTACATTGAACGTCAGTGGTGTCTCTTACATAGAACGTCAGTGGTGTCTCTTACATAGAACGTCAGTGGTGTCTCTTACATTGAACGTCAGTGGTGTCTCTTACATAGAACGTCAGTGGTGTCTCTTACATAGAAAGTCAGTGGTGTCTCTTACATAGAACGTCAGTGGTGTCTCTTACATAGAACGTCAGTGGTGTCTCTTACATAGAACGTCAGTGGTGTCTCTTACATTGAACGTCAGTGGTGTCTCTTACATTGAACGTCAGTGGTGTCTCTTACATTGAACGTCAGTGGTGTCTCTTACATTGAACGTCAGTGGTGTCTCTTACATTGAACGTCAGTGGTGTCTCTTACATTGAACGTCAGTGGTGTCTCTTACATAGAACGTCAGTGGTGTCTCTTACATAGAACGTCAGCGGTGTCTCTTACATTGAACGTCAGCGGGTGTCTCTTACATAGAACGTCAGCGGTGTCTCTTACATTGAACGTCAGCGGTGTCTCTTACATTGAACGTCAGTGGTGTCTCTTACATAGAACGTCAGTGGTGTCTCTTACATAGAACGTCAGTGGTGTCTCTTACATTGAACGTCAGTGGTGTCTCTTACATAGAACGTCAGTGGTGTCTCTTACATAGAACGTCAGCGGTGTCTCTTACATTGAACGTCAGTGGTGTCTCTTACATTGAACGTCAGTGGTGTCTCTTACATTGAACGTCAGTGGTATCTCTTACATTGAACGTCAGTGGTGTCACTTAAGCCTATGATAATGCCACAAAAATGAGTAACAAGAATACATTTTGAGGTCCCTTTCTGGAAATTTAAACTTAGGTAGTATTTTTTAGTATGAATTCCATTACTGAGGAGTTTACACAGAAAATTTCCCTTGGATTAAATACTTTGTATATACAGTAGATCAGGGGTGGACTGACCATATGGAAAACTCGGGCACTGCCCGAGGGCCCGGGGTCAGTAGGGGGCCCCATTAGATGCCCCTGGTACCTTTTTCATAGGCTTTTTTGAGTTTGGGCAAGGACACAGGGGCCCCATGGTCCCCTATTGCCCGGGGGCCCCATGAGTTGTCATGTCCACCCCTGCAGTAGATTATGGCAAAGTCTTGGTGGTCTCAAAGATCTATATACTTGTATTCCTTCCCTGTAATGAGTATTCATTGCTCTTTAGACAGATTTAATGATGCAGCCTCTGCCTCAAGCTCCAAATAATTTTAATGATATTCACTGCTCAAAAAAAATTAAAAGAACACATTGAAAATACATCAGATCTCAATGGGGAAAAATCTCCTGCTGGATATCTATACTGATATGGACTGGGTAATGTGTTAGGAAAGTAAGGATGCCCATCGTTTGATGGAAATGACAATTGTCAACTAGAGATGAGCGAAGAATTGAAAAATTCGATTCGGCTGATTCGGCGAATTCCAGTATGAAATTCGATTCGATGCGAATTTCTTCGCTACGAAGATGACTTATAAAAAGGGTTTTCTAGGCTTCAGAGAGCCTTTAAATTAGTGCAGAACACTGTACCTTTAATTTAAATGCCCTTGGAGATGAGGAAGGAGAAGGAGAAGGAGAAGGAGAAGGATGAGAAGAAGGAGAAGGAGAAGGATGAGAAGAAGGAGAAGGAGAAGGATGAGAAGAAGGAGAAGGATGAGAAGAAGGAGAAGGATGAGAAGAAGGAGAAGGATGAGAAGAAGGAGAAGGATGAGAAGAAGGAGAAGGAGAAGGATGAGAAGAAGGAGAAGGAGAAGGATGAGAAGAAGGAGAAGGAGAAGGATGAGAAGAAGGAGAAGGAGAAGGATGAGAAGATGGAGAAGGAGAAGGATGAGAAGAAGGAGAAGGAGAAGGATGAGAAGAAGGAGGAAGGAGAAGGATGAGAAGAAGGAGAAGGATGAAGGAGAAGGAGAAGGATGAGAAGATGAGAAGGATGAGAAGAAGGAGAAGGAGAAGGATGAGAAGAGAAGAGGAGAAGGAGAAGGATGAGAAGAAGGAGAAGGAGAAGGAGAAGGATGAGAAGAAGGAGAAGGATGAGAAGAAGGAGAAGGATGAGAAGAAGGAGAAGGATGAGAAGAAGGAGAAGGATGAGAAGAAGAAGGAGAAGGAGAGAAGAAAGAAGAAGAAGAAGGAGGAAGGATGAGAAGAAGGAGAAGGAGAAGGATGAGAGAAGGATGAGAGAAGGAGAAGGAGAAGATGAGAAGAAGGAGAAGGAGAAGGATGAGAAGAAGGAGAAGGAGAAGGATGAGAAGAAGGAGAAGGAGAAGGATGAGGAGAAGGAGAAGGATGAGAAGAAGGAGAAGGATGAGAAGAAGGATGAAAGAAGGAGAAGGATGAGAAGAAGGAGAAGGATGAGAAGAAGGAGAGAAGGAGAAGGATGAGAAGAAGGAGAAGGAGAAGGATGAGGAGGAAAGGAGAAGGATGAGAAGAAGGAGAAGGATGAGAAGAAGGAGAAGGATGAGAAGAAGGAGAAGGAGAAGGATGAGAAAGGAGAAGGAGAAGGAGAAGAAGGAGAAGAAGAAGGAGAAGGATGAGAAGAAGGAGAAGGAGAAGGAGGAGAGAAAAGGAGATGGAAGAAGGATGAGAAGAAGGAGAAGGAGGAGAAGAAGGAGAAGGATGAGAAAAAGAAGAAGATGAGAAGAAGGAGAAGGAGAAGGATGAGAAGAAGGAGAAGGATGAGAAGAAGGAGAAGGAGAAGGATGAGAAGAAGGAGAAGGATGAGAAGAAGGAGAAGGAGAAGGAGAAGGATGAGAAGAAGGAGAAGGATGAGAAGCAGGAGAAAGGAGAAGGATGAGAAGAAGAAGGATGAGAAGAAGGAGAAGGAGAAGGAGAGGAGAAGGAAGGAAGGATGAAGGATGAGAAGAAGGAGAAGGATGAGAAGAAGGAGAAGGATGAGAAGAAGGAGAAGGAGAAGGATGAGAAGAAGGATGAGGAGAAGGATGAGATAGAAGGAGAAGGATGAGAAGAAGGATGAGAAGAAGGAGAAGGATGAGAAGAAGGAGAAGGAGAAGGATGAGAAGAAGGAGAAGGATGAGAAGAAGGAGAAGGATGAGAAGAAGGATGAGAAAGAAGGAGAAGGATGAGAAGAAGGACAGTTCTGTGACAGTTTCTGTCGATTTCTGACAGTTCTGTGAACATTCACTCCATACAGCGGTTTCAACCGCTGTATGGAGGGATGTCATAGAACTGTCAGAAATAGACTATTTATGACAGTTCTGGGACATTCCTTCCATACAGCGGTTGAAACATTGTATCTATTTGTTTCCATAAATGGATCCATTTATGGAAACAAATAGATACAATGTTTCAACCGCTGTATGGAAGGAATGTCCCAGAACTGTCATAAATAGTCTATTTCTGACAGTTCTGGGACATTCACTCCATACAGCGGTTTCAACCGCTGTATGGAGGGAATGTCCCCAGAACTGTCAGAAATAGTCTATTTCTGACAGTTCTGGGACATTCACTCCATACAGCGGTTTCAAACCGCTGTAATAGGGATGTCATACAGAACTGTCGGTTTTCTATACAGCGGTATTAAGCAACTCTAAGGGAGCAATACTGCGGAAACCGCTGTATGGAGGGAATGTCATAGAACTGTCAGAAATAGACTATTTTCTATGACAGTTCTGGGACATTCCTTCCATACAGCGGTTGAAAACATTATCTATTTGTTTCCATAAATGGATCCATTTATGGAAACAAATAGATACAATGTTTCAACCGCTGTATGGAAGGAATGTCCCAGAACTGTCATAAATAGTCTATTTCTGACAGTTCTTTTCCGGAAACATTCACTCCATACAGCGGTTTTCAACCGCTGTATGGAGGGAATGTCCCAGAACTGTCATAAATAGTCTATTTCTGACAGTTCTGGGACATTCACTCCATACAGCGGTTTCAACCGCTGTATGGAGGGAATGTCATAGAACTGTCAGAAATAGACTATTTATGACAGTTCTGGGACATTCCTTCCATACAGCGGTTGAAACATTGTATCTATTTGTTTCCATAAATGGATCCATTTATGGAAACAAATAGATACAATGTTTCAACCGCTGTATGGAAAGGAATGTCCCAGAACTGTCAGAAAAGAGTCTATTTCTGACAGTTCTGGGACATTTCCTCCATACAGCGGTTTCCGGCAAAAAGTGTATGAAGCTATGTGCAGAGATTCCTCTATTCTGCAGATACACTTAGAGGAGCTCTGCAGAACACTAGAGGAGCTCTGCACACTTCTTCTTCTTCTTCTTCTTCTCATCCTCCTCTCCTCTCTTCTTCTTCTGAGGATGAGGAAAGGATGAAGAAGAAGAAGAAGAAGTAGGATGAAAATAAGAAGGAGAAGGATGACAGGAGGGAGCTGAAGAAGGAGAAGGAGAAGGATGAAAGAAGGTCGAGAAGGAGAGAAGGATGCAGAAAAAGGATGAAAGAAGAAGACAGGAGAAACCGATGTAGAAGAGAGGAGAATGAATGAAAGAAGAGAAGGATGAGAAGAAAGGACAAGGATTCTGCAGAAGAATTCTTCCGAGCAAGGAGAAGGATGAGAAGAAGGAGAAGGATGAGAAGAAGGAGAAGGATGAGAAGAAGGATGAGAAGAAGGAGAAGGATGAGAAGAAGGAGAAGGAGAAGGATTTAAAGAAGGAGAAGGATAAAGATTCTTCTTCAGAAGAAGGATGAGAAGAACCTGAGAATGAAGAGAAGAAGAGACAGTTCTGTGATAAGTTTCTGTCTGTCGATTTCTGACAGTTCTGGGACATTCAATACAGCGGTTTTCAACCGCTGTATGGAGGGAATGTCATAGAACTGTCAGAAATAGACTATTTATGACAGTTTCTGGGACATTCCTTCCATACAGCGGTTGAAACATTGTATCTATTTGTTTCCATAAATGGATCCATTTATGGAAACAAATAGATACAATGTTTCAACCGCTGTATGGAGGAATGTCCCAGAACTGTCATAAATAGTCTATTTCTGACAGTTCTGGGACATTCCAGATACAGCGGTGTTCGGCAAAAAGTGTATGTGCAGAGTTCCTCTAAGTTCTGCAGATACACTTAGAGGAGCTCTGCAGATACACTTAGAGGAGCTCTGCACATACACTTTTTGCCGGCTTGGAATTATTCTTATTTACATCCTACTTCTTTTCTTCTTCTTCTTCTTCTTCTTCATCCTCTTCTTCTTCTTCTTCCCAGAGGAGAGGATGAGGATGAAGAAGAAGAAGAAGAAGTAGGATGAAAAATAAGATTAATTCCAAGCCGGCAAAAAGTGTATGTGCAGAGGAACTCTGCACATACACTTTTTTTGCCGGCTTGCAATTATTCTTATTTTTTCATCCTACTGTCTTCTTCTTCTTCTTCTTCATCTTCTTCATCCTCATCCTCTTCTTCTTCTTCTGAGGATGAGGATAAGGAAGAAGAAGAAAGAAGAAGAAGAAGAAAGTAGGATGAAAATAAGATTAATTCCAAGCCGGCAAAAAGTGTATGTGCAGAGCTCCTCTAAGTGTATCTGCAGAGCTCCTCTAAGTGTATCTGCAGAATAGAGGAACTCTGCACATACACTTTTTGCCGGCTTGGAATTATTCTTCTTTTCATCCTACTTCTTCTTCTTCTTCTCTTCTTCTTCATCCTCATCCTCATCCTCAGAAGAAGAGGATGAGGATGAGGATGAGAAGATGAAGAAGAAGAAGAAGAAGAAGAAGTAGGATGAAAAGAAGAATAATTCCAAGCCGGAAGTGTATGTGCAGAGTTCCTCTATTTCTGACAGTTCTCTGACAGCTTCTTCACATGTACAGCGGTTTGAAACATCTGTATCCTAAATGGAAACTAATAGATACAATGTTTCAACCCGCTAAACATGTGTTCCTTCTGTCAGAGAACTGTCAGAAATAGCGGAGCTCACTGCAGGGACACTTTTGCCGGCTGATCGGGAAATGTTCGATTCGCGCACCAGAAGTAGGCAAAATTTCGGATTCGATGCGAATCGAATATTTCCTGAAATTCGACTCGAATTCCGGTTCGCCTGGTTCGATTCGCTCATCTCTATTGTCAACCTACAGAAGACTGAATTCAAAGACACCCCGAAAATCAAAGTGAAAAAATAATGCAGCAGGCGAGTCCATTTTGCTGAAATTTCATTGCTGTAACTCAGAATGGTCCTCAGTAGTTTGTATGGCCCCCATGT